TACTTCGTTTTTCTTATGCCCCTCATCCAATCAGCAAATCTTTATGTGTGTATGTGTGTGTATGTATCTGTGTGTGACTACATGTAACATATATTTGCGTCATTTCTCACTACCTCAGAACCACTGAGACCTTGGACTGAGCCACATATCTCGTGGCTTACATTGCTGTAATAGCATCCTAACAAATCTGTTTCTGCTCTTGCTTCTTCCATGTCCTACCACAGTCTAGTCTTAGTGTATCAGAACCTTTTACAATATGTCAGACTAATGTCCTTCTCTTCTGCTGAGAACTCTGCAATTGCTGAGAACTCTGCAATAGCTCCTCATTTCATTCTGAGTTAAAGAACTGTTGCATGGTGTTTCATAGTGTATATGTAATGTATTTGATCATTCTCCCGTTGATAGGCATCTTGTTTCCTGAAATTTTGCTATTATAAGTCATGCTTCAGTTAACATCCTTATAACTTTGTCCACATGGGTGTGTGTTTCTATAGGATAGAGTTTGAGAAGTGATGTTACTGGCACAAAAAATATACAGGGGTGCCTGGGTGGTTCAGTGGGTTAAGTGTCTGACTCTTGGTTTTGGCTCAGATCTTGATCTTGTGGTTGTGGGATTGAGCCCCGAGTTGGGCTCTGGGCTCATTGCAGAGTCTGCTTCAGATTCTCTCCCTCTCACACGCTCTCTCAAATAAACAAACAAACAAACAAATAAATAAATAAAATCTTTTTTAAAAAGAAATATGCAAAGTTAAAATATTGATAGACACTGCTAAATTATTCATAATATTAATCAGAAAATTTCAGTAAGGAATGAAAAATGATTCAAACTAACTTGCGCAAAGACGTGTATGAGCACCAGGTGTTGTGTATAAGTATTCAATCACTAAATTGTATGCCTGAAACTGATATTACACTGTATATTAACTAACTGGAATTTAAATAAAAATTTAAAAGAAAAAGTAAAAAAAAAAAAAAAAGAAGGGGGGAGGTCCCTGGGTGGCTCAGTTGGTTAAGTGCCTTTGGCTTAGGTAGTGATCCCACTCCCCTGGAATCGAGTCCCACATCAGGGTCTCTGCTGAGCAGGGACCCTGCTTCTCCCTCCAGCCTCCACCCTACCCCGCTCGTGCACTCTCTCACTTTCTCTCTCTCTTACTTATTTTTTAAATAAAAATCTTAAAAAAAAAAAAAAGAAAAGGGGGGAAAGAGTGGTAGGTCCCTTTAGGCATTGCGGGATGCTCTTATTGAAACGATGTCAGCAGGACTCAGGGTCTTACTTTCTCTTATCTCTGCATTTCTCTTATGTTCATTGTATTCTCCTTGTAGCCTTTCTCTTTGGAGACAACCTTTTCTTAGAATTCCTAAATAAAGCATAATGAGATGATGCACATTGTGCAAAGTATGTGACAATGTAAGCTACCTGAAATGGACAGTCAACACTCTTTGTGATTAGCACATGTTATTTGTTTAGTCATCATCAAATTGTGGCCCAGGTGTTGAGGTTCTGATCTTAATACTTAACCTGTGTTAACCTCTACTTAAATATTTAACCTCTACTTAAAACCATGTGCTTTTGCTCTCCTTCTTAGGGCTTTGCAGAAAAATAGTCTATTATCTTTCACTGAAACAAGTAAGCAAGTTTACTACTTATAAGTAAAAGGACACTTTGGGTTAGGAAACATAAGTTTGTGGTATCATTGCCAGAATGTTAAAGTCAACTCTTGTCATTGCCGTACAGGCATCAGATAGCTGGAATTGGTCCAGCAGACACGGCCCCAATCGTAAAAGTGCAGCCACGGAAGAACTTGCAGGTTGTTATAAAAGAACTGAAGTGCCTATTATGGGTTTGTTCACTATGAAGTCTTTAATACCTTTATGTTTAAAATTTTAATAAGTAGAATAGAAGCAGAAACTACTTTGCCTTCCAGTGAGAAGTGGAGGTTAAGGCATTAAAAACTGAGTATTATGAGCTATTTCCCCAATAATCCTTTTAAGGAAAGGAAGACAAAGAAAGGTGGTTGATAGTCCAATCCAAGATAGATAAGATCCCTTTGGTCCCCTCATACCAGTTTCGGAGGGCAGTATATTATTGGAATTTTCAAAACCAATTTATACTGGGTCCTGACAGTTTTCTTAAAATGATATTTTGGAGCGGCACCTGAGGGCAAAGGTGGTTAAGCATCCAACTTTTGGTTTCGGTTAGGGTCCCGATCTCAGGGTTGTGGGATCAAGCCCTGCGTTGGGCTCCGTGCTCAGTGTGGAGTCTGCTTAAGGTTCTCTCCCTCTACCCCTCCCCCATGTGTACACGCTTGCACGCTCTCTCACTTTCAAGTAAATAAATCTTTAAAATGACGTTTTGGGGGAAAAATGATGTTTTGGAGACTTTCCCAAATTTCTAACAACTGTAACAGTACATAACTATTGTAATTCTGTTGAACCCCATTGAGGGTTTAGGCCATCTGTTTTGTTTTTGTTTTACTGTTAAGGAACCTGTACTTCAGAGAGTTTGAATAATTTGCCCAAAGGGTAATCCAATAGAGAATTGGTGGAGCCAGGATTGCAGCCCAAATCTTCTAACTCCAAATCTGCTGTGTTTCCCAGATCATTTTACTTTCCTGATCCAGTGGTTTTAGAGTTAGCTATTTAAATGTATCTATTTTTTCTATAGGCAAAATCTTTTAGGATCTCAATTTAGTAGTTAACTGACTTCACTATTTTTCCTCCTGAGTGAAAAGTGCCTTTTCTTTATTTCATAGTTAATTGCACAGGTGTTTTTATTTCCCTTTCCTAAGATGGGTGTGTGTACAAATCACTAAGGGTGGCCATCACATAGGTGGGAATTTAGTTCCCTTCCTTGAGGGGGGAATATCGACATAAATTATATGGAAGTTTTCTGGTATTTAGAATATCTCCTCTTTTCCATTTATTCAATCACTTATATATGCCAGGACTCATATGTATTAACTTTATACATTGGGTTCTAATTGAATATGATTTTGCTTATTTTGTTGCTCAGATTGTTCTATCTTTTGTCATTGAGTGCTCTTTCAGATTGGCTCTTGTGTTTCTTTGACAGGCCCCCATGTATTTGTTTTTTGTTTTTTAAAGCTTTTGTTTATTTGAGAGAGAGAGAGAGAGAGAGAGCAAGGGCAGTGGGAGAGGCAGTGTTTTTGTTTTTTAAAGCTTTTGTTTATTTGAGAGAGAGAGAGAGCAAGGGCAGTGGGAGAGGCGGTGGGAGAGGGAGAAGCAGGCTCCTCACTGAGCAGGGAGCCCTATGCGGAAGTTGTACCCTGGACTCTGGGATCATGACCTGAGCCAAAGGCAGAAGCTTAACCGACTGAGCCCACCCAGGCACCTCCCCACCTCCATGTTTTATTTTTTTGAATACTTCTTTTACTTGGTGAACTTGGAAGATGCACCGGACTCATTTTGTATATTCTTTGTGCCACCCCTGCAATCAGCCTTTTTCTTAAGAGCCGTGTTTCCTTTGAGAATGGTACTCAAAATTAAGATCTGGGCACTGAGTATGCTTAAGGCTACTGGCATGTCTTTACTTTTAAGCCCCTTTAGCAGACAGAGCTAGGAAATATATTTATTACGACCTGCATGTCTACACATATTTTTAAGTATCTCTATATCTATCCATCTCTATCTGTACTAAAGCCAAATACAAGTTCATTGACATCTGGATTCTGATCCAGTACCATATGGTTCATTCTAGCTTTCTTCCTTTACTACTCTGTAACCTCCCTTCCCAAAAGTGAGACCATCTTTGTCTACCATACATTCATTTGCTTATTCGATCTTATTGTACATAGATAGTGGTTTCAGAATTGTTAATCTTTTTCCCTGTGAAAAACAACTTTATCAACTGGACTACACTGTGTATGTACAATTCCTTTTGTCTTTAGCCTTACAGTTTCTAGTCTTGATGAAACCATTTTCTAATGGGTCATTCATTTGTAATCCAGTTAGATGCTTTTGTCACAGTCCCATTCTATTCCTGAGATTTTTAAATGGCTAGGATTAAGCCTTATCTCTTTTTCTCCTTTCTCAGTGGAAGAGAACATAGCCATCATCTCTTCTCTTTTTGCTTCTGCTGACTCTTCCTCCTCCTCTCCCTCAGGCACCCTACTCTTCCCTTGTGTCAATGCCACTTTGTTTTGCTTATTCTAACTTTAAGATCCAGTTTAGTATATAGGGTAAGTCCAGTCTCTTCTCAGTACTTGCTTTCTTTATTTTTCTAACTTCTTTGTTATTCTGACCTGCCCACTCCTACTCCTATTAACTTTAGTCACTTTACCAAGTATAAAACCAACCAACCAAAGAACTGCCAGGTCTTCTGGCATTTTGATTAGAATTGTAATAAATTTATTAATTATTTTGGGAAGAATGAGCATCTTTATAATATTGAGATTTCCCATTTGGAGCTGTCTGTGTTTCTATATATATCTGTATGTTCCTGGTTTTTGTCTTAACCTTTTTTTTTTTTTTGAATATCTGAATAAAGGTCATTTCTGACTAATCTGGAAACACTGTTTTTGTGATATGAACTACCCTCATGTTATTAGTTGAGTACAAGGAAGTAATGCTTGAGATGAGACCATTTCTCTCATAGAAACTTAGAAATAAAAAAATTTATCAGTTTTTCAGTAAATCTTGTTTAAGCAAATACATGGTGCTACATCCTCTTCAGACCTTGCTTTTGTGTTACCTTTCAACTTCTGCCACTCCCCTTCCCTTACCCATCAAAAATTAGAGAATAGAAAATAAGTTTGTGGGCAGAATTTGTATGTTAAGAATACCAGAGAGCTTTTCACAGCAAGACCCCTGTAGAACTTTTTAAAAAATTTTCTAGAGAGTTTTAAAGTCAGACCTCCCATTTATAATTGTATTTTAATATTGCATTAAATTCTTCTTGGTGTCTTTGCTTTTTAATCACAAGAAATAGCAGCGATATCTTCCAGTTGACTTATTTTTTTTTTTTTTTAATTTTTACATAGATTCATCTGAAAACTACGTTAAGACAAAGACTTTTGAGGGCTTCTGTGCATTACATCTTGCTGCAAGTCAAGGACATTGGAAGATTGTACAGATACTTTTAGAAGCTGGGGCAGATCCTAATGCAACTACTTTAGAGGAAACCACACCACTGTTTTTAGGTGAAGTATGCTATTTTTGGTATAGATGTAATTTTTTATTTTTTATTAATTTTTTTGTTAAAGAAACTAAACTTAATTTCCCCTCAAGCTGTTGTACTACAGTATTTTCCTTTACAAATATTATATTTCCACTTCTTTGATTCTGAAACTGAAAAGGTATCCCTGTTGTTTTTCGTCCTTCGGTAATAGCATTTGGAAATATTTTCAAACATTTGTTTAAAGGTGTAGAATCTGTTCTGAATTTTAGTCACCATCATTGTTCTCAATATTGTTCTGAAGACTGGATAGCTTAAATTGTAGCAGTAGTTGTAAGGTTACTTATAAATGTTTTAGTTGCTTTTGCTTTTTCTTTGTATTAAGAAATTGAGGTTTTATGGAAGAAATCACTAGCTAATTCTTTAATGCCAGTTAATTTGTTGCCTGTATAGATTACTATTGAGACTTCTTCAATTGTGGACTATTTTTAATTCCTTAAGGACTAAAGATCAAATTCTAAAGGGCACAGTTATACTACCTCTTTTCTTTTTCTTCCCTCCCTCTCGTTGATCCTGTTTGTCTTTAGGGACATTGTGGCCCATAAAATTTAGTAGAACATGAAAAATTAGGAGAATAAAATATTTGTGTAGAATCAATGTATCTGGACTGCAATTTTGGTCCTACCATTTGTAATTTGTATGTATATTTATTTGCTATAAAATGAGAGTATGAGAGTATAGGTACCTACATAGTTTTTATTGGACTGAGAATAAAATGAGGTGCCTATGAAAGTACTTTATATCTTTTGAGCATAATATGTACTTAAAATTTATGTATAGTAAAAGTCATTCTTTTTAGTATATAGTTCTGTGAGTTTTGATGTGTGCATAAAATTGTGTAATGATAGTAATAGTCAAGGCACAGAACAGTCCCATCACCTCCCACCCCTCAAATTCCATCATGCTGCCTAATTTATTTCATGCTGCCTATTTTTAATCAACCTCTCCCAAGACTTTACTCCTAACAACCTCTAATCTATTTTCCTCCCTGTATTTTGCTTTTTTTGCAGAATATCATAAATATATATAGCATAATACAACATGTAACCTTTGAGGCTGACTTCTTTCATTTAGCATAATGCTTTAGGGATTCATAATGTTGTGTTATCAAGAATTCATTCCTTTTTGTTGCTAAGAGAATTCCATTATATAAATGTACTACAGTTTATCCATTTACCAGTTGATAGACATTTGAGTTGTTTTTAGTATTTGGTGATTCTGAGTAAATTGCTACAAACATTTGCATGTAGGATTTGTTTGAATGTAAGTTTTAATTTCTCTTGGATTAATACCTAGGATTGTTGGGTTATGTGGTAAGAGTATGTTTAAATTTGGAAAACAATTCAGAAGTTTCTTACAAAGTGACTGTACAGCTTGCATTCCCTCCCTCCAGTAACGTTCGATAGCTTCAGTTGTCCCGCATGCTAACCAATAGTTACCATTGACAAATTTTTCTTTTTTGCTTTTAGTGACATTGTGGTTTTAGTTTGTACTTTTCCTGGTTGCTAATGATACTGAATATCTTTTTATGTGATTATTTGCCATCTTTCCTTTTTGTTACCCATTACTTTTGTATTTAGACATTTTATTTTGAAATAGTTTCAGACTTTTGGAAATGTTCTGACAGTACAAAGGACTCATACTTTCCCCCCCAGATCTTGTTTTTTCGCTGTGTTCATTTTATGATTTTATTTCTTTCTCTGTATTTATCCGTGTATTTTTTCTGAACCCTTTGAGATAAAATTGTAGACATAATGCTTCTTTACCTAAAAATACTGTAGCTTGCGTTTCCTAAAAGCAATGAAATTGTCTTATATGACTGCCATATGATGATCAAAATCAGGGAGTTAACGTTGATACAGGTTTGTTATTTAATCTACAGCTCTTATTCAATTTTGCCAGTTGTTCCGCTAATGTCCTTTATAACAGCAACAAAATTTATTAGTGCAGGATCCAGTCTAGGATCATTTGTTAAATTTAGTTGTTATGTCTCTTTAGCCTCCTATAATTAGGAACAGATTTTTACTCTTCATCTTTTATGATTTTAACCTTTTTTTTAGTTTAACATTTTTGAATAGTTCAGATCATTTATTTTGTAGAATGTTTTTCAGTTTGGGTTTGTCTGATGTGTTTTCTTGATAAAATTCTGGTTATGCACTTCTGGCAGGAATATCAAAGAAATGAAATGGTGTCTTAGTACATCTTATCAGGAAGAATATGACCCATTACTGGTGATGTTAATTTATAAAAGTATTTTGAGTAGGTAAAATGTATAATTATGAAGATGTTTAATGGAAGCCTTTCTGTAATATGGTTCATGTTTCCTTGAGAGAAGATTGCTTTTTTAGCTAAGGTTTTTGTTTTTTGTTTTTTGGTTTTTACATGTGCATGTAACCCACTTTGGATATTGTGTACACAACTACATAGTAAGCTTTCATTGTGGCCTAGCCATGTACAGTCTCTGTTTGGGTTGCTGTCTTTTTTTTTTTTTTTTAAAGATTTTATTTGTTTATTTGACAGAGATCACAAGTAGGCAGAGAGAGAGGAGGAAGCAGGCTCCCCGCTGAGCAGAGAGCCTGATGTGGTACTCCATCCCAGGACCCTGGAATCATGACCTGAGCCGAAGGCAGAGGCTTTAACCCACTGAGCCACGCAGGCGCCCTGGGTTGCTGTCTTTAAGAAATCTACCATATAGAGGAATGAACATAATTAGGTCCTATGAAAGAGATAAAAATAAAGTGTTCAAGATATTAAAAGAAGGCAATATTATTCCCCTAGACATGTGCATAGTAACCGTATTAATAGTAACTATAACATTTATTGAGCAGAGTATGTACCAAACCCTATGTCAGGTGTTTTACATGAATTAACCGTGTCATAATTTTCACGATGATTCTGAGATATGCACTATTATTTCTGCTTTCATAGATGAAGAAGATATAAAAACACTATATTTAGGATCAGAAGAGCTGTATTTGAGTCTTGACCCTGCTGTTGTCTGCACATTGGTTAGAAGAGCACTTATGGAATTGATTTGATGAGCTATTAATAGAATTAATAGATGTTCATTGACAAAAGGGTTCCTGATCAACCTGTGTTTGGGAAGTACTATGTACTGTATTGTATTCCCCAATGTAGAAAAACAAAAAACATTAGCTTTGTAGCTCAATGTGTCCATCCAGAGAGAAGTGTCTTCTGCCCTCTTATCCCTTTTTCGTGTCTTCATAGCTCTTCTCACTGTATTGTATTTATTTCCTTTTTTGTTAATTGACTGTCCTCTCTACTAGAAAGAATGCTCCATGAGAGCAGGCATTTTATTTCTCTTGTTCACTGTTGTAACCTCCAAACCCAGATAAGTGCCTGATGTATGGTGGCTTTTAGTAAATTGTTTGGTGAATGGAAGTGTCTCTCAGACCTGTTATAAAACAACACTTGGGGTTTTTTTGTTTGTTTGTTTTTTGTTTTTTTAAGATTTTATTTATTTATTTGACAGGGATCACAAGTAGGCAGAAAGGCAAGCAGAGAGAAGAGGAAGCAGGCTCCCCGCCTAGCAGAGAGCCCGATGCGGGGTTCGATCCCAGGATCCTGAGATCATGACCTGAGCCAAAGGCAGAGGCTTTAACCCACTGAGCCACCCAGGCACCTCAAAACAACACTTGTTTTAACTTTAACGGCATTTTGAAATGTATTTGACCATAATATTCTTTTTCTTTGTGGAACACTTAGAAAAATCTCAAAGAACATTAACATTGCATGGAATGATTTAAGAAATGTTAGTTTGGTAATTTACTTTTCAGTTTCAAAATATAATAGTCCTGTTTATGAAATTCAGTATTGTGCTTACTCATATAAGTATTTAGAGAAAATCAGAGATGCAGTTTTAGTGATTTCTATTTTAGTATATCGTTAACTTGTAATTTTTTATGTTACTGAAAGAACAGTTGCAAAGATAATTCAAACCAGTGAATAACTTTATAAATCACTTATTTTTAGTAACAGGATTTATTTAGTTTCTTTGGCAGCAAACTGACTATCCTAATTATGTTTTATATTGGTTAATACAAAAAATAATTTGACTCAAGCAAGGAGGTTAACCTCAAAAAGGTGTAGTACTTTTATGTGCTCAAGTACAGTATCAATTGTATTAAGTCCTGGTTTGGAAGTAGAGTATTTCTTTAAAAAGAGAAAGTATACCTTTAGCTTTTACAAGAACAAAAGGTCAAGGGATGGACCTATGACTCTTCAGTTAGGTGATCTGCACACCAGCGTCTGCTTGCCCTGTAAATAATATGACAAACTTCAGCAGTCTGCTTTGCTTACCTGTATCTTCCTCTTTTAAATAACCATAGTGATCCACGTTTCAATCTATAATGGAAAAGATTTGTTTATTGAAACAAATCTCGGACACCTCAAGATTTGCAACAAACTACAAATGATAATGTCTTGATGAGCAGAGTGGCTGGACCAGCTGAACTTAAAGCCCATCTGGTGTAGCTTCCTTCCCCATCTTTTGGGTTCTCTTCAAAACTGTTCTTTGCTAAAACTTTTAAGTATTGAAGTATGTTTTCCTCTCCCTCAAGGAAAGCTATATTGCCATGCATGTTGTAGTACCTGTCCTGGTGGCCCAGTTTACCACCTAGACTGTTGCTGGAGGCTGTAAAAATAAACCTGGAGGGTTAAGGGATAGAAAATGAATATAAAACTATGGAAACTTGATAGGTGACTTAGAAAAGTAATTGATATCTGTGGTGTTTGAATATGAAAACATGAAACATGATGAAACATGATGTTTGAGTATGAAAATATACTACACCACCATTTATAATGGGAACATATTTTCTACACAGAACTCGTCAAGATTTTTATTTTTTAATTTTAATTTTTTTTTTTTTAATTAAACTGCGTGCCCAGCATGGAGCCCAGTGCAGGGCTCAATCTCACAACCCTGAGATCAAGGCCTGAGCT